CAGCCGGGCGTGGTAGCGCTCGCCTGTAATTCCAGCTACTTGGAAGGCTGAGGTGGCCGGCAGCGGCCACTGCACTCGAGTCTGGGCGACAGAGTGAGACTCCAACTCAAAAAAAAAAAAAGTTGAGTGAGAGAAAGCAGATACAAGCTAGTACATATTATATGGTTTCATTTGTATAGAGTTCAGAAGCAAATAGAGCTCGTCTAAGATAATAGAAGTCAACATAGTGGTTGCCTTTGTGGGAGTAGACAGCTGGGAGGGGCACAGGGCAGGCTTCTGGATGCTGGTAGTGTTGTGATTCTTGGTGTGGGTGATGTTTACATGGGTGAACTTATTTGGTAAAAAATCATCAATTCTCCATTTATGAATTTTATAATTTTCTGTATACAATAAAACAAAAGTGTCTTTTTAGAAAATATTTTGCAAGCTCCTTTGAGAGATAGAGCCAAAGACTACTATCTTACTTTATACTTCTTATTGCTTATCAAAAATTAACAACTATTTTGTAAGCAACTCTTTGAAATTAAATTGTGGCTCTTTTAATATCTATCGATCTATCTATCTATCTGAGTTGGAGTCTCACTCTGTTGCCCAGGCTGGAGTGCAATGGCACGCTTGTATGCTTGTGACTGCCACAGCCTCAACTTGCTGGGCCCAGGTGATCCTTCCATCTCAACCTTCCAAGTAGCTGGAAGTACAGGTGCATGCTACCACATGTGGCTAATTTTAATTAATTAATTAATTAATTAATTAATTTAAGAGACAAGGTCTCATCAAGTTGCCCAGACTGGTCTCAAACCCCTGAACTCAGGCAATCCTCTTGCCTCCACCTCCCAAAGTGCTGAGAATACAGGCGTGAGCCACCTTGCCTGGTTTGTGGCTCTTTTAAAAATGGCCTTGATACTCAGTGTACATTGTAAATATTATCAGATATTTGAATACCCTCCTCTTACCAAAAAAGGAGAAAAATCTAAATCAGTGGTTTTCAAATTATGTCCTATGCAATATTATGAGGTGGTATTTCATTAATTTTTACAGGAGGCCATGTTTCCGCTTGTCTACCCTTTTTTTTTTTTGAGTTGGAGCCTCACTCTGTCACTCATGCTGGAGTGCAGTGGCATGGCATGCTCATGGCAGCTTTGACCTACAGGGCTCAGGTGATCCTTTCCCCTCAGCCTTCCAAGTAGCTGGGACTACAGGCGTGCGCCTCCACACTCAGCTAATTTTTTAAAGTATTTTTTTGTAGAGATGAGATCTTACTGTGTTGGCCAGGCTGGTCTCAAACTCCTAGGCTCAAGCAGTCCTCCAGCATTAGCATCCCAAAGTGCTAGGATTACAGGTGTTTGCCACCATGCCTGGCCCCTGCTTGCCTACGTCAATCAGAGCATTTCTTTCTTTACAAATTATCTTAAATATCTGAGTCCACAGTGTAGTTTAAAAATAATTGAAGGCCAGGCACAGTGGCTCACGCCTATAATCCCAGCACTTTAGGAGGCCGAGGTGAGAGGAGTGCCTGAACTCACGGGTTTGAGACCATCCTGGGCAACTTGGCGAGACCTCATCTCTACAATAAATCGGAAAATTAGCTGGGCGTGGTGGCATGTGCCTGTAGTTCCAGCTACTTGGAAGACTAAGGTGGAAGGATCATCTGAGCCCAGTAGGTTAAGGCTGTTGTGACTGTGAGCATGCCACTGCCCTCCAGCCTGAGCGACAGAGTGAAACTCTTGACTCAAAAATAAATAAATTAATAAAAATAATAAAAATAATTGAAGACCAATGAGCTTAGTGATCCAGAGAGATATCTTTGAACTTTTTCCTCCAAGGCTGAGCTAATTTAGGAAGAATAGGAGGGGTGGTTTAAATAAGATTAAACTGAAGTTTTGTGTTCTCCCCTTGCATTTAATTCTTTTATTTATCTCAAGATAATCTCCTATCTTTGTCTTAGGCCTGCAAAATACGGGCTTAAAAAACCCCTCTAATCTCTTTTCAAATTATTGAGCTTGCCTCCTTTCACCCCAGGTGTACGTGACTGCTGAGAGCCGCTTCAGCACGCTGGCAGAGCTTGTCCATCATCACTCCACAGTGGCTGATGGACTGGTGACAACACTGCACTACCCAGCACCCAAGTGTAATAAGCCTACCGTCTATGGCGTGTCCCCCATCCATGACAAATGGGAAATGGAACGGACAGACATTACCATGAAGCACAAACTTGGGGGCGGTCAGTATGGAGAGGTGTATGTAGGCGTCTGGAAGAAGTATAGTCTGACAGTTGCTGTGAAAACACTGAAGGTGGGTTGTGAGAATTACAGTTTTTCAGGCTTCTTTTTCTTGTGCTCTATCACTTGGAAATATCAGTGTGCTCTTCTTTAACTTTGGAATGCTTTCCACCCACTGGAGCCAAGCACATCAGCCAACTGTGGTGATTCACCTGAGTGCCATTGCTGACAGTGCAGAGGCAGATTATTCACTGCAATGCTGTGAAACCCACATGTGGGGAAGGTTTGTCTCTAGAGGCTATTGATGTAGACCGTAGTGGGAATTTAGAAGTAAATTATAAATTATAGAAGCAAAACAAGTTGTCTTGCTTCCTGAGAATGACCCCTGCTGGACAGAACTCTTTGTGCATCGTCTGAGAATTATGGGGCTCTATCTTGTTCTGTCCTTTATCTCTCTGCTTCTTGTTCCTCCCATCTCTTTTCAATTAGATCACTTCTTAGTATTCACAGAAATCTTTCCTGGAACTGCTCTGTCTCTTCTTTAAAGCATTCTGGTATCAAATTAGACGGTTTTCACTCATTTGGTTTTCCCAGAGCCTCAGTAGCTCTGCTATATTACTCATAAAAGGTGTTCTTCAGCTATGAGTAGTAGTCAGTTCTTCAGCTATGAGTAGTAGTCAGTTCTGCATGTGAAACGATATATGAGGCCTTCCTTGCAAGCCTGCATTGCTCCTTACAAAGCCTATGTTCTAATCAGGAAGATAATCATGTAAGCAGCTAACTGCTCTGTCTCCTCATTCAGAGGCTGAGCTATCCAGAGAAGTACACTATCAGAGAACTGATTTATCTAATCCAAGTCTCCTGTGTTTCAGTGCTGAATTCTGCTTATCCTACTAATTTTTACTCCGGTTTTTAATACTGGGAAAATTCAAGAACTTTTTTCTTAGTTGGACTTCTATAGAGCATATTAGGTTGTGACAAAATTTCTTAAAATAATATGCTAAAATATTCAGATGATACTCCCTCTTACTTTTAAAGCTGAACAATTAAAATGGGAGGTTGTCCTTTTATTCCTTCTTACCTTTCCCTTTTTCCAGGAAGATACTATGGAGGTGGAGGAGTTCCTGAAAGAGGCTGCAGTGATGAAGGAAATCAAGCATCCTAATTTGGTACAACTTTTAGGTGAGGAAGCTTGCCTGAACCATAGATGTCCTCCAAAAACATTTGCCCCTCGACCCCTTATTACCTCCAAATCCTTTTGAATGACTGTGGTGGAAGCTGCAAGTATGAACTCATTTCAATAAATACTTATCATTTGAATCAGTAGGCTCTGTGTTTAAAACTTGCCCAAGAACAATGGCTTGGCTTGGTTTTAATATATAAAACTGCTTAGTCTGTGGTAATTGTCTCAAATTCAAAGTTCACAAGTGTTCAAAATGGTACCAAACCCAAAACTGTCATGAAATACTTCTGCAAAATAAAGAGACATTAAACAAAGGACTGAAAATAAGCAAATTAAAAATTGTGAACACATCGATCAGTTTACCTTTACAAGCAGGAAATGTTGTACTGTGATAGACTGGCTTCTTAACCTGTTCAGGTCACAAAGAAACCTTTTATTGGGCAACCCCTTTGGGTCCCCCCCTCCCCAATGTGGGAGCTTTTCTGTCCTCTCAGTAAATCCTGCTTTAAAATTAAAATAAAACAAACCTTTTATTAAATCCTCTTCCCTTTTCATAATAGGGCCAGTTTCTTTGGATGTTCAAATTGAGCCAAACTATCCCAAAGGAAGTAGTTGCTTGTTGGTTCTTCATAAGAAATCTGCCATATGTCAGCAAAATCCTTGACTATGGAAACAATTACAATCTTTTTACAAAGCATTATTACAGCTGGGTTCACAAAGTCTTCAGCATGTGCACAGATGCTGTTACGTTTAGACAAATATTGTTAGTGTGCAGTTGAGGGGAGTCACGGGCATGGACAGACTTTAGAAGGTTTGGTCTTCTTAGCCCCTTATGGAATTAATATAGGTAGCTCTGCTTTTGCTTAGACAAAGACTCAAAGGCATATACATTTCCAGAGAACAGTATAGTGGAAGCAAAGACTCCCTTATAAGCTAACTTCTTAATTTTTGCTTTTTAATTTCAGAGAATGTGGAGGTATGAAGGGAAAAGATTACTGCTCAACTAGACCTAAAAAATTGTCAATTCTCAGCCAAAGTGGTTTCAACTGTTTGAATGTATACTAATAATAAGTCAAGTTCTGTTGGTCAACTCTCAGGTGTGTGTACTTTGGAGCCACCATTTTACATTGTGACTGAATACATGCCATATGGGAATTTGCTTGATTATCTCCGAGAATGCAACCGAGAAGAAGTGACGGCAGTTGTGCTGCTCTACATGGCCACTCAAATCTCTTCTGCAATGGAATATTTAGAGAAGAAGAATTTCATCCATAGGTGTGTAAAACCTCCGTATGCCTGTGACCAACCACAGAGCCATCTTGTTTGACATACCGATGAAGGGAAGAATGTGAGAACCTTCCCAGAGATTTTCAGATGATTCAAAAAAGTAATTCTCTGTTTTGTAGGGCCCATTGTAATGTCATTTCCAGCTTATAAACCTACTGTATTCTGATTAAAGTATTAATGAGGAGCCTTTGCTATTCTTTTTTTTTTTTTTTTTAATCATGTTGGAGTCTCTGTGACCCAGGCTGGAGTGCAATGGCATGCTCACGTCCACTGTAGCCTTAACCTGCTGGGCTCAGGCGATTCTTCCACCTCAGCCTTCCAAGTAACTGGAACTATAGGCACGTGCTACCACATCCAGCTAATTTTTTTAAAAAAATTATTGTAGAGATGAAGTTTCGCCAAGTTGCCCAGGCTGGTCTCGAACCTGTGGACTCAGGCACTCCTCTCACCTCAGCCTCCCAAAGTGCTGAGATTATAGGCTTGAGCCACCGCACCTGGCTGCCTTTGCTTATTCTTAAAACAGAAAGCTATTTTGCCCAGCACTATATCCAAGATTGTTTTGCTCCATCTAGTGGTTGAATTTTAAGAATAGCTTTCTGTCTAGAAAAGTGTCACTAGATCACCTCTAAAACCCATTCCAATGTCCTTATAAATAGGACACTGCTTTATAAAGTCCACTTCATTCTGGTACCACATAACTGCCTCTCAATGAGTGCTAAGTGATATATAATTAGTGGCTTTCCACTATTCACAATAGCAAAAACATGGACCAACTGTGTTGCCCGTCAAAATTGTACTGGATAAAAAAATATGGTACATATACATGATGGAATATTATGCAACCATAAAGAAGGACAAAATTATGGACTTTGCTGCAACTTGGATGGATTTAGAGTCTATTACACTCAGTGATCTATCTCAGAAACAAAGAACTGAGTATCATATATTCTCACTCATAAGTGGACCCTGAACATTTATCACAATACTATAAGAAAGGAATTGTCAGTAGCTGGAAACTGCCGGGGAGGGGCGGGGGTGAGTGCACATAATATCAATAAAGGTACCTGATCTCAAACCAGGCAAAGTGGGGACCAAAGGGAGGCCCAAACTTGTACCTGTACAATGACCACTTGTATACCTAATTCTGAATTGTAACCTACATTTTTAAAATTAAAAAAAAAAAACCTGAAAATATAATAATTAGTGGCTTTCCACCAAGTTAGTGCTGATCATAAGGTACCACCTTATTTGTCAGCACTTACTTACCGACTATGTGTAGTACAAGAACAGAGCACTTATGACTGTTTTCTTCACCATATAAATGGAATTACATTAGGGTTCTCTTTCCTACAGAGATCTTGCAGCTCGTAACTGCCTAGTGGGAGAAAACCATGTGGTAAAAGTGGCTGACTTTGGCTTAAGTAGACTGATGACTGGAGACACATACACTGCTCATGCTGGAGCCAAATTTCCGATTAAGTGGACAGCACCAGAGAGTCTTGCCTACAATACTTTCTCCATTAAATCTGATGTCTGGGGTAAGGTTGAAGGGGACTTTTTCCTGTGGGTGTCATTTTTTTTCCTTACCAGCATCCTTAATTCTTTAGAGCTTCTCTTTTTATATGGTGTTCAGTATTCACTGCCTTTATCCTTATCCTTCCTCAGTCATTTAGCAAGCATTTATTAAATACCTCCTAAGTGCCAGGACTATGCTAAGAACTTAGTATAGAAGGGAGTATAAAGAAGAAGATTTTTTTTAAAGGGTCCTTGTCTTGAAAGAACTCACAGCCAAGGTCTCACATGGTATTGGAGTGCTAATGATCCTCTCTTTGTAGAGTACCCTATTTTCCACAGTAAGTTTTATCACTAAGTTCCAGAGCACTGTGATAGAACACTCTTTTCAAGGAAGGCTTGATGAGGTTTCATCTAGAATTTGTCCTTTAACTGATCTCGTTTTTACTGCCCTGAGCAGTAAGATGATTTGGTAGAGGCTTAGTAGGCTGAACAAATCTGGAAATTTGGATTGTGGGCCCACAGAAATAGTTGTAGGATTCCAGGTCACTGTTTACCAGAAATCTCAAACTCAGAACTAACCTAACTGTGACAAAGTCAAGCCAATTCTTTTTTCTACTGTGAATTCTGATTGTAAGTGAATCCATTTTTATTTTACTCCTCTGATATTAACTGTTGAACTCATTAAATCCCTCTAATGGATGCCTAAAACCGAGGGTAGTATTGAATCCTGTATATACCATCTTTTTCTGATCTGACAACTGACAGGGCTACTAAGTGACTAGGATGGGTAGGATACACTGGACAAAGGGATATTTTATGTCCTGGGTGGGAAGGAGCAGGACAGCTTGAGATTTCATCAGACTATTCAGAATAACAAGCAATTTAAAATGTATGAATTAGGCCCGGTACAGTGGCTCATACCTATAATTCCATCTCTTTGGGAGGTTAAGGCAGGAGGACTGCTTGAGCCCAGGAGTTCGAGACCAGCCCAGGCAACATAGTGAGACTTCATCTCTACCAAAAAAAAAAAAAAATTAGCCAGTCATGGTGGCGTGTGCCTGTAGTTCTCATCTACTTGGGAGGCTGAGGCAGAAAGATTGCCTGAGTCCAGAAAGTCGAGACTGCAAGATTGTGCCAAGATTGTGCCACTGCCCTACAGCCTTGGAAACAGAGTGAGACCCCTACTCAAAAAAAAAAAAAAAAAAAAGAATTGTTTATTTCTGGAACTTTTCATTTAATATTTTTGGACCTTGGTTGACTGCAAGTAATCGAAACCTTGGAAAACAAAACCGTGGATAAAAGGTGACTACTGTAGACTGAAGACTGTCTAAGAATAGTTGGATTATGCCTCAGACTTTTTTTTTTTTTTTTTTTTTTTGAGTTGATATCTCACTCTGTTGCCCAGTCTGGAGTGCAGTGGCATGCTCATGGCCACTGCAGTCTCGACCTGGTGAGCTTAGGCGATCCTTCCCCTTCAGCTTTCCAAGTAGCTGGAACTACAGGCATGCATCACCATGCCGCTAATTTTTTTATTTATTGTAGGAATGAGGTCTCATCAAGTTGTCTAGGCTGGCCTCAGACTTCTTAAATGGTCATAGTTTATTCTCCCCAGCTGTCATAAAAGAAATTTAAATAGAAATTGGGAAATTTAAATAAAACTGTCTTGAGGTTGTCTGTGCCATTCCTGTGGCAGATATTTTTGAGGGACAAATCATGCTGTCAGAATTGACAAAAGAGGCTGGGCATGTTGGCTCATGCCTGTAATCCCAGCGCTTTGGGAGGTCAAGGCAGGAGGATCTCTTTTTTTGTTGTTTTGTTTTGTTTTGAGTTGGAATCTCACTCTGTCGCTCAGACTGGAGTGCAGTGGCACATTCCTGGCCACTGCAGCCTCGACCTGCTAGGCTAGGGCGATCCTCCCGCCTCAGCCTTCCAAGTAGCCGAAACTACAGGCGCGCACTACTGTGCCCGGCTAATTTTTTAAAATTTATTGTAGAGATGAGGTCTCGCTAAGTTGCCTGGGCAGTTCTCGAACCTGTGGGCTCAGGCAATCCACTTGTCTCGGCCTGCCAAAGTGCTGGAATTACAGACTGAGCCACCAAGCCCAGCCAGGAGGATCTCTTAAGGCTAGGAGTTTGAGACTAGCTTGGGCAACATAGTGAGACCTATCTCTACAGAAATTTTAAAAGAATTAGCCAGTGGCTTATGCCTGTCATCCTAGCATCCCAACAACTCAGGAGGCTGAGGTGGGAGGATCACTTGAGCCCAGGAGGTCAAGGATGCTGTGAGCTATGATTACACCATTGCACTTTAACCTGGGAGACTGTCTCAAAAAAAAAAGAATAGACAGCAGAGTATATTAATGTTGTAGCAGTATGTGAATATTACTCAGAGTTAAAGAAAATTACATAATTAATGTAAATAATAAATCAGAGAAGAAACATTAAGCTTTTCCCTTCCCCCCAATCTCTTATGCAGCTTTTGGGGTACTGTTGTGGGAAATTGCCACATATGGAATGTCACCATATCCAGGTATTGACCTTTCTCAGGTCTATGATCTTCTGGAAAAAGGATATCGAATGGAACAGCCTGAGGGCTGCCCCCCTAAGGTTTATGAACTTATGAGAGCATGTGAGTATTTTGCATATTTTAATTTTGAAGGTTAGAGCTAGCAATTCAAAATAGTTAAAATTAGAAACATTTCTCCTCATTGTTAGATTGAATCTAGTCACGTGGCATTTAAAGAGATTATCACTGGTCAGCCAGTTATCATATCATATAATATACATTAAGTCTTATTGGGCCCGAAAATTGACCCAATGTTTTTCAAAAACATTTGAATATTTAATAAGATAAGAAATTGGGCTTAGAGATTAAGGTAAGAGAAGGGCTGCTTTCAACTAGCTAGGAATGATTACTAAAGACTATGGAGAATGCATAAAAGTAACCTCTGTGATGAATAGACAGAAGCATCTGAGTGTTTGAAGATGAGAAAGTAGGAAGGTGAGTAGTGAATTAAATTGCAGTTGTGTTTGAACCTAAATCTTTTTGCTCTTTTCTCATTGACAACTGCATTCCCTACTGCCCTTTGTCAAATATGAACTCTAAACTCCTCCTTTCTAATGTCCTGTTATAGTTCTGAATATATACAGTTGATAATTTATAAGATAGACTGAGCTTGAAGACAGGTTTTACTTTGCATTTTTCAAGTGGAAGAAAACTTGCCATTTTCTAAACTATCTCCTTGTCTCTCCTCATCCTTATAGCAGAGGGCCTAGGAGCTCATACTAATCAGAAGGCTCAGTCTCAGGAAGTGGGTTCATGGCACTTCTAGTCTAGAGTTGAAAAGTGCTGCATCACGCTCATTGTGAATATGCTATTGTAATAAGCATACCCGTGATGCATGGAACTCTCTAAGTATGCCACTGGACATGGAATTCCCACAGGGAACGTTTAATATTTTCTTCTTCTGCTCTGTAGGCTGGAAGTGGAGCCCTGCCGACAGGCCCTCTTTTGCTGAAACACATCAAGCTTTTGAAACCATGTTCCATGACTCCAGCATTTCTGAAGGTAAAAAATCTGTAAATCTAATTTACTGTTGATGGCTAGTTCTGGTGGTAATGGTGGTGGTGATGGTAGTTATATTTCAAAAATTATCAACTCTTATAGTTAGGGACTCTTTCAAGATACTGAATTAATTTCTGGCCTTTATTATTCTTTGTTCCTTTTTTACTTTTTTTCAGTGTGTCTTTTTGTCTCATATATTTAATATTGAAATTATGTTTTAATTAGAAATTAATTTATCTTTTCCATAAATAAAATTAGTAAGTTTTGTAGTTATTTAAGCACCAATACATATGATATAGGGAGGAAGGAAAGAGAAGAGGAAAAAGTAAGTATAAAAAGTAGTCTAGGCCGGGCTCGGTGGCTGAGCCTGTAATCCCAGCGCTTTAGGAGGCCGAGGTGAGTGGATTGTCTGAGACCATGGGTTCGAGACCCGCTCAGGAAACTTGGTGAGACCTCATCTCTACAGTAAATCAAAAATTAGCTGGGCATGGTAGTGTGCGTCTGTAATTCCAGCTACTCGGAAGGCTGAGGTGGAAAGGTTGCCGGAGCCCAGCAGGTCAAGGCTGTGGTGGCTGGGAGCGTGCCACTGCACTCCAGTCTGGGCGACGGAGTGAGTCTCCAACTCAGAAAAAAAAAGTATTCTAACTCTCAGAACAACATCTATAAAGGCAGAACCAAGTAATAAAAGCAATATTCAGAAATTCCATTTCTGGAAATAGACCTAAAGGAAATAATTGAGAGTATAAACAAAGATTTAGCTACTAGGATGTTGTGTCAGTGTTTAGCTTATAATATTGAGAAATTAAGAACAAATTAAATATCTAGTGGACTATAAGTTATTACATTCATATAATTGAATATTTAAAACCTTAAATATATTTACATGGAAAAGTATTTAGAATAATAAGCTGATTAAGCTATAAATAGGTTAAAAATTAAACATTTAATTTTAAAATTAAAAAAGCAGGCTGGGCACGGTGGCTCATACCTGTAATCCCAGCACTTTGGGAGGCCAAGGTAGGAGGATTGCTTGAGCCGAGGAGTTTGAGATCAGCTTGGGCAATGTACTGAGATTTTTTTTCTACAAAAATCAAAAAATAGCCAGGCATAATGGTGCTTGCTTGTGGTTCTAGCTACTAGGAGACTGAGGCAAAAGGATTGCCTGAGTCCAGGAGCTGAGGCTGTGGTGAGCTGTGATCATGCCATTGCAGTCAAGTCTGAGCAACAGAGTGAGACTCTGTCTCAAAAACAAAAACAAAAACAAAAAACCATACACATACACACACACAGTTGGAGAGTTGGGTGCGGTTACTCATGCCTGTAATCCCAGCGACTCAGGAGAATGAGACGGAAGGATTGCCTGAGTCCTACCCCAACCTGTGTGGCAGAGTGAGACCATGTCTCTTAAAAACAAAAACAAGTGTATGGACACATCCAGGCAGTTTCTTACTTTTACATATAATGCCTCTAAGATATCTATCTGCAAAAGTCAAGCAATTTACTTGTTATAAAGAGAACGAGCCTATTCTAGAGAACTTAAATACTGAAATTTTAGTATTTTACCTATTTATTAGACATCGTGATATAGTTCTGTAATCTTGTGCATATTTTTCCAATTTTCTTTTCTTTTCTTTTTTTAAAAATGTATTGTAGAGATGAGGCCTCACCAAGTTGCCCAGGCTGGTCTTGAACCTGTGGGCTCAGGCAGTCTTCTCACCTCAACCTCCCAAAGTACAGAGATTACAGGCGTGAGGCACTGCCCCCGGCCCCAATTTTCTTTTCATAATTGAACAGAGTTGACTACCTAAGTTCAATTTTTAAAATATTAGAAGAGGAAATTAGGCAAGTTGATTTTTTTTTTTTTTTCCCACTCTCCTTAGATGAATGAACTTCTGTAGGTTGAAGGAACATGGCTGTGTGTCACGACGCCCTTCTTTCCCCTATGTTCAAGGGAGTCAAAGTGCTAGAAGTCATGAATATATTAGGAAAAGTATAGGGTTCATTCTTTGGCACTTTTGTGTCAACTTTTAACTTCCGTTGAATCCTTAGTTTAATATTTCTACTTCTCTTGGACATGTATCCTTTCAGAAAACCAACTCCTGTCAGTTTTCAAAGTGAATTTCAGGCTGGGCATGGTGGCTCACGCCTATAATTCCAGCACTTTGGGAGGCTGAGGTGAGAGGATTGCCTGAGTCCATGGATTCGAGACCACCCTGGGCAACATGGCAAGATCTCATCTCCACAATAAATCAAAAAACAGTATTAGCCAGGCATGGTGGCGCATGCCTGTAATTCCAGCTACTTGGAAGGCTGAGGTGGAAGGATCACCTGAGCCTAGCAGGTAGAGGCTGCGGTGGCTATGAGTGTGCCACTGCATTCCAGCCTGGGCAACAGAGTGAGACTCCAACTCAAAAAAAAAGTGGATTTCAATGTATAATTGGTAAACTAAAAATTTAACATTCAACCCACATTTTATTGATCATTTAATCTGAGTCAGGCACAATGCCAGGTCTGGAGACATAGAGATAAGACACAGCCCCTACGTTGAAAGGATGTATTTTTTAGTCAGTTGTAAGTAAAAGAAACAAACTTTCTTAATCAAGAAAGGAGGATTTAGCCAAGCACAGTGGCTCATACCTGTAATCCTAGCATTTTGGGAGGCAGAGGTGAGAGGATTGCCTGGGCCCACGGGTTCGAGACCAACCTGGTCAACTTGGTGAGACCTTGTCTCTACAATAAATAAAAAATTAGCCAAGTGTGGTGGTGCTCGCCTGTAGTCCCATTTTTTTGGAAGGCTGAGGCAGAAGAATTGCTTGAGCCCAGCATGTTGAGGCTGCAGTGGCCATGAGCGTGCCACTGCACTCCAGCCTGGGCGACAGAGTGAGACTCCAACTCAAAAAAAAAAAAAAGAAATAGGAAGGAGCATTTGTTGGCTTATAACAAAACCAACCATCCTGAGGTTGAAAATACAGGGGTGGTGCCAGCCTCAGAGTCATTTGAAGCCGTGGATTCAAGTAGCTTCCGGACTTCCTCCTTCCTCATTTCCTCTTTCTTCCACCCATACCCACTCCTCCAGTTTTCTTCTGCATTTCCATTGATCTTATCCTTGGAATCCTCCATGTAGCATGGGACACAGTTGCCAGCATCCATGAGGTCAAATCTGTAGAGTTCATGATCAAGGAAGACAGAGGATGTGTGGCTGTATATAGCAGTGTAAAAAAGGAATCTCAATGGCATGGATTGGGTTATGTACCATTTGCCCACTCTTGTGGGGAGTTATTTTTTAAAATAATTGCCAAAAAAGGGAGCAGAGTACAGTGCATGTATACCCATAATCCAGGAGGTTGAGGCGGGAGGTTCACTTGAGCCAAGAGTTTGAGGCCAGCCTGACTAACATAGCGAGATCCCCATCCCTTTAAAAAAAAATTACTAAAAAAGTTGTAAATACAAAATTTTAATACAAAAGTTTAATCAATCCTACCTGTTTCACTTGTTTCAGGAATAGATAGCAAAGTATGTCTTTGCCCCAGTAAAAGCCACAATACCCATGACCAAATTTTAATAAGTCAAGGCTTACCAATGGGGTGAACACTTTTTCAAGAGCCTGATGTACTTCATTTGCACGAAATGGGATGAATTGTATTTACTTTCATTTTTAGGGCAAGGTGCAACCTAGAAATCAAAATGTCTGCAGATATCTGTTCTCTTTGTTCAGTCTCTGAACAGGCACTTAGTAGACAAGGGTGTTTAGATGGCCAATGAGCATATGAAACCATGCTCGGCATCACTCATCAGCGAAGTACACAGGAAAACTACAATGAGATGTCACTACATGCCTGCCAGAATGTAAATAATAATGCATAAATAAAATTAAAACCAAACCAAAAATGATGATACCAAGTTTAGCAAGCATGCCGAGTAACCAGAACTGTACACTACTAGTGGGAGTGGCAGTTGGTACGGCCACTTTGTCACAGTTTGGCAGTATCTAATGAAACTCAATGTACATGTACCCTGTGATCCATCTGTTCTCCTAAGTCTATGCCACATAGACATGCAGTCCATTGTAAACCAAAAGACACCTAACAGGATGTTCCTAGCAACATATTCATACCAGCCCCAAACTGGAAATAACCTAAAGATTCACCAAGCAGGGGTCAGGTGGATTTGATGTATTCACATGTTTGCATGCCACCCAGCACCGAGAAAGAGCCCAGTCATGTGCAGCAGCATGTAGGAGTCTGCAGATATAACGCTAAGCACAGGAAGACAGATGAGAGACTTCTGCTCCCGGCGGTACATTTTAGCCCTCTCTTCTCCAGTCCTTTCTCATTGTGTGCCTTTTCTGAAAAGAAAAGCTTCTTTTTTATGAAATTGTTCTTTTTAATCAGTCTCCTTGTCTTTCTCACAGAGGTTGCTGAGGAGCTTGGGAGAGCTGCCTCCTCTTCATCCGTGGTTCCATACCTGCCCCGGTTGCCTATACTTCCTTCCAAGACTCGAACGCTGAAAAAACAGGTGGAGAACAAGGAGAACATTGAAGGGGCACAAGAGCCGATAGAAAATTCTGCTTCCAGCTCAGCACCAGGTATGGGTCCCCAGACAGGTAGAATCTAAAGAGAAACTGCCTTTTTGAAAGAGCCATGGCCTGTGAAGCTTTTACACCCATTTTCATGCCTGTCTTCCCTGAGGAAGGTGTATTCACATGTTGGCATGCCAGGACGTCTGTTGTACCTACCACTTGAGTCCTTGATTTTCCATTGCCAGTAGTAGTCGTCCTGATCTAGCCATCCAGCATACAACTTTACCTTTAGTCTCACCTCCTTAGCTCCTAGTTCCCAAATAGTTATCATCTTTATAGTTCTGGCAAAAATTTCATAGAGCCTGACAGATGAGAACAGGTTGTGTAGTGATTTTTAAAGAAAGGATGAATGCTGAGTTAATAACCAGCATGTTCTTGCCCCTCATTTATAAGCCACTTGCATTTGGAACACCAATCACTGAAATGATAATATATTTATTAATTTCCTCTGAGTTCCACCAACAGCTGATATTTAATAAATACTGACAAAACTCTTACAATTCAGTCTTAGTAACTCGAATGCGGTGGAGTTTCTTCTTGCCTTTCACATATGACTTTTCCAAGGTCAAACGCTACATCTTCCATGTCTTCAGGGCTTCCAAAGCAGGATAGGATGGCAATGACCCTTCCCTTTCACGTATGACTGGCTGTTTCTCATCAGGGTTCATCAGAAGCACACAGGCCTCCAGTGGGTCTCCAGCACTGCCTCGAAAGCAAAGAGACAAGTCTCCCAGCAGCCTCTTGGAAGATGCCAAAGAGACATGCTTCACCAGGGATAGGAAGGGAGGCTTCTTCAGCTCCTTCATGAAAAAGAGAAATGCTCCCACACCCCCTAAACGCAGCAGCTCTTTCCGAGAGATGGAGAACCAGCCCCACAAGAAATATGAACTCACGGGTAACTTCTCATCTGTTGCTTCTCTACAGCATGCTGATGGGTTCTCTCTCACTCCTGCCCAGCAAGAGGCGAACCTGGTTCCACCCAAGTGCTATGGGGGGAGCTTTGCACAGAGGAGTCTCTGCAGTGACGATGGTGGTGGGGTTATGGGCAGTGGCTCTGCTGGGGGTGGGTGGTCTGGCATCACCGGCTTCTTTACGCCACGCTTAATCAAAAAGACACTAGGCTTGCGAGCAGGTAAGCCCACAGCCAGTGATGACACTTCCAAGCCTTTTCCAAGGTCAAACTCTACATCTTCCATGTCCTCAGGGCTTCCAGAGCAGGATAGGATGGCAATGACCCTTCCCAGGAACTGCCAGAGGTCCAAACTTCAGCTGGAAAGGACAGTGTCCACCTCTTCTCAGCCAGAAGAGAATGTGGACAGGGCCAATGACATGCTTCCAAAAAAATCAGAGGAAGGTGCTGCTGTAACCAGGGAGAGACCAAAAGCCAAACTGTTGCCCAGAGGAGCCACAGCTCTTCCTCTCAGAACCCCCTCTGGGGATCCAGCCATTAGAGAGAAGGACTCTCCAGGGGTGGGAGTGGCTGGAGTGGCAGCTGCCCCCAAGGGCAAGGAGAGGAATGGTGGGGCACGACTTGGGATGGCTGGAGTCCCAGAGGATGGAGAGCAGCCAGGCTGGCCTTCTCCAGCCAAGACAGCCGCCGTCCTCCCGACCACTCACAACCACAAAGTGCCAGTCCTCATCTCCCCCACTCTGAAACACACTCCAGCTGACGTGCAGCTCATTGGCACAGACTCTCAGGGGAATAAGTTCAAGCTCTTGTCTGAGCATCAGGTCACTTCCTCTGGAGACAAGGACCGACCCCGACGGGTAAAACCAAAGTGTGCCCCACCCCCACCGCCTGTGATGAAACTACTGCAGCATCCGTCCACGTGCTCAGACCCTGCAGAAGAGCCGACTGCCCCGCCTGCAGGACAGCAGGTGTCAGAAACACAGGAGGGAGGAAAAAAGGCAGCTCCGGGGGCAGCACCCGTCAGTGGGAAATCTGGGAGGCCAGCGATGCCTCCACCTCAAGTGCCTCTGCCCACATCTTCCATCTCGCCAGCCAAAATGGCCAACGGCACAGCAGGTACTAAAGTGGCACTGAGAAAAACCAAACAGGTGGCTGAGAAAATCTCAGCAGACAAAATCAGCAAAGAGGCCCTGCTGGAATGTGCTGACCTACTGTCCAGTGCAATCACGGAACCTGTGCCCAACAGCCAGCTGGTGGACACTGGGCACCAGCTGCTCGACTACTGCTCAGGCTACGTGGACTGCATCCCTCAGACTCGCAACAAGTTTGCCTTCCGAGAGGCCGTGAGCAAACTGGAGCTCAGCCTACAGGAGCTCCAGGTGTCTTCGGCAGCTGCTGGTGTGCCCGGGGCAAACCCTGTCCTTAATAACTTATTGTCCTGTGTACAGGAGATCAGCGATGTGGTGCAGAGGTAGCCATGGGTCGCCGAGTGGGAGGGGTCACGGATTTCTGCGGGGAGAGGGCAAGGGACTCATTTTCCTGTGTTCTTGTTTTCAAAAAACAAAAGACTGATACTTGAGTGTGTTTATGTGAAGTACCTCAGATCCCTGAGTTCTCACGTTTACAGTTTCATCTCAGAATTAACAAAAAGCCAACCACATGTGTATGGGAGAGGTAAATAAGGTGGGGGCGAGGCAGTAGTGGACTGGGTTGGAAGCCCCACTGGAAAATCAGGGAACCTGAGTGTGTCATAAGGATCAGGGGCCCCTCCCTGCCTGGAGGCACATGAGGTGCTGTACAGGGGCTCCTGCAGGTGAGGGTGGGCTGCGGCACTCACTGCATCGTGCAGAAGGGGATCGACTGGGCTCCGGTAGGAACTGATGGTGATTATGCTGCAGTTTACCTAAGGAATTTGGTGGGACATAAGAAAGCTGGGCCTGTGCTGGAAGAAGTTTTGTTCAAGGCTGTTGAAGCAGGAGTGAACCTTGCTTCCTCAGGGGCATCGCTGCTGTAGCATGAACTTCAGGTCAGGTTGCTGGAGCACAGAGCTGGGAAGTGTGGCCCGATCGTATGCTCCTGTGCTGTTTTCTGTCAGTATATTAGTTGGTACAGGAAGTAGAGGATGCTGGGAAGTTTAGTCAGGGAAATAGACACTTCCTAAATCTTATATTGATTAGAGATCTAGTATATTATTTCCTGATGGACCAGGACCGGCTTCCTGCTTGGTGGGGGCTCCATCAGCATGGGGGTCACCTTAGTTCTTCCCGGTCCTTTGCTGGGCAGGTGTCTTCCTATATTCCTGGCAACATCCAGGGCATTAACCAGTGTTGAATTTGAAAAATAGTGGTCCCTACAGTTCTCACAGGGCAGTGAAGCCTTTTCTGCCACTGTTCCCTTGTATACCGGTGTACCGGCTGAGGACTTCAGCAGCTGTGTATTTCTTATCAACTGAAATGCCAGGGCAGTGGTCTTTTCTTAAAACCTTAAAACCCTACAGCTGGGCCTGGGGCTTGGGACTGAGAGGAGAAGCTGACTTAGTCCTTGTGGCTGTTTTTCTGCACCTTCCCTCCCTTATCACCTTAAGCCAAATCCAGGGAGGAGGGGAGAGAGAGGCATGGCCCCCTGTGGATCTGAAGTGAATTGCCCCGAATTATTCTCACGTGCTTTCCTTCACTCAGTCATTTTGCTTGTTTGTACAGTTCTTATTGGGAATATTCTTTATTTATTTTGTCATTTCACCTCTGTTTTGAGAATGCATAATTGAAGGAGTAGGTCATTTTCAAGGAGCCCAGTTAGATCCTGGAAACCTTTGACTTGACCCTTAAATACCCCTAAATATGTTTTGCCCTTGAAAAATAGAGCTTTTCCTTCCCTACTCATAATGGAGGATAATTAGGATGGCAGGAAATGGCTCTAGGGTTAGATATTATTAATGTTCTTGGTATTGGGTCGAATTCCAATCACTGCTTCATCTCTTTTTAAAGCTTTATGAATGCTTCCCCCACCCTCCCCAAGGGGACCCAGTATATAATATTTTTATTTTATTTTCTCAAAGGAATATTAGCTAAGGAAGATAGGAATTCAACACTGAGCAGTGCATTTTCTTCCTGGCTCTGTCATCGATCACTATCAAGCCACAGCCCCATCTCTTAGTCTATTAAATGAAGGTAATAGTACATGTTCTCAAGGGTGTTTTGCACATAAGCGTATAGCTATCCCTTTGAGAGCCTCTCTAGAAAGCTCTTTTAGTGCACTGTTACGTTGAATGGTTTTCTACTCTCTCTGCTGAGTAGCAGATGTTAATGAAATGTAGAACTGCTGAGATGATATTAATTGGGCTAGAATACTAAAAGAGAAGCTATGTGTTGAATAGAGTTTGGCATCTTTGACTAAGGAGGGAATTGAGTTTTCATTAGAAAGGAAACCTCGATTCATATCATTGCTGCTCCAGAGGAGGACCAGGGTAGGGGAGGTTAGAAGAGAGGAGACTGTGCTGGGCCTTCCTGGCAAGTGTGGATGACCCCCACCAGTGGGCACAGCAGCAAATGGTCAGGTCCATTTCCTTGTCATGGTTGAAGAGAACTTGGATTTAAAAACCAGGGGCCCACCTCCCACCTTCTTCCCTTCCACTCTCTCTCATCATCACGTCCATGAACTTGAACTCGTTTTAGCAGGAAGCCTTTTAAGGGCAGGGAGAGGAAAGCTAAAACTTTAGAATATTATGCTGCTTTTTAAGTTTATCCCTGTCATTGTGAGATACAAGTTAAGGGATTATAATTGTTTTTCAGGGGATTTTTTTTTTTTTTTTTAAAGCAAGGGCTCCAATTTTCTTTGAGAGTTTTGGAAATAAGCCTTGGAGAAACACTACTGAGTGTATTTAAGCTCCCTGGTATTCTCACCGAACAACAATCTTGGGGGTGGGGTGGGGGCTGTGTCTTACTCAGGGCAGCACCTAGCTCTGTTTTGCCTACAGTGGGTGCACAATACATAAATTGAATTGATTGTTGTCAACACTGTCAAGAGGAGCATTGACTATTGTAGCACACCCCACCCATGGAATGCTTGAACTATGTAACTTTAGGGGTTGAGAGCTCAGGGTTCAGGTTAAAGAGGCACTGTCAACTTACCATAAAAGTATATAATTTAGGGTTTTTCTTTTTCTACTTGAAAAGGACCAGCTTTAAAAAAAAAAGCCTTGTGAAAATTAAAGTTTGAATCCAAAGCAGAGAGAACTGCTTCTAGAGACTAAAAATGTCATTTAATTTTATCTAGTCTAAAAGCAAAGCATATATATAGCAAGAAAGAAGACCCTAGAATAAGGTGTAGACAGTTTTCTAAAGTGATTAGACTATATATGTGCACACCTTTGGGCTGCCACAGCTTAATTCCTTTTGTGTATAGGTAACATAATTTCAGTTTAGATTTTCTACCTTAAAATGCAGTGTTTTGTGTTGAGTACATGTTGACTGTGCTTTACATAAAATGTTTTCCTAAATGGCTTGTGTAAAATTAAAATGTATCTATTTTCCTGCTGACTTCCATCTTGATTTTCAGAGATAAAGCCTTAATAAAATTTGGCCCTAAGAAATTCATTCGGTGTTTCTCTAGATGACTTATAGTGGAGACCCTTTACCAGCAACATTTTAGGGTTTGAATTAGAAATTTTCTTATGATTCAATTGCAAGTTGGCTAGTAAAATAGTTTCCAGTTAATAAAACATGCTGACTTTGCCAAGACATAGCCCATATTTATTTAACTAAATTCATGGAAGCTTTGGGTTTAAAGGATGCAGTATAGATAGTGGTTTAGAGTTTAGGCTCTAATGCCAGTCTAGAAGCAAGCCGTTTAACCTTCCTGAGCCTCAGTTTCCCCACTGTAAAACAGGGATCATAATAGTAACTACCTCAGGGTTGTTGTAAGGATTAAATGAGATGTCTGTGAGATACTTAGCTCAAGTGCCTGGCACACAATGAGCACTCCATAAATGTTATAGTAACACCTAGTCCAGGGATGCACAGCAGAGTCCCCTAAGGGTTTTTTTTAAACTGATGCATTAGTACACTACAGATCAGAATTCCCAGTAGGGCAGGGTCTCAGCCACTGTATTTTCCTAGACTCTCTCCAGGTGTTTCAGACGCTCAGTCCTGTCTGAAAACTGTCAATACCCCAACTTTTTCTTTATAGGGTAAGAAACTAGTGGAGAGGATGGTGAAGTTACTTGCCCATTATCTCAGAATAGTTTTTGAACTGCAGAGCCAGGGTCTCCCGCCTCTATGGTTGTGGGATCTTTCCACCATACCTGCTGCCTTGTGAGACACTGCAAGAAAAGTGGCTCAGTTAGACAATCAGCTGCAAGGTGCTGCACACTTTCTAAAGCACATGCTTCTGGCACCTTGACCCTAAGGGGCTTGAATGCTGAGTCAAGGCAACATGAGCAAAGTGAGCACTTGGTAGAACTCAGTAATTTAAACAAGCGTTTGGGGTCATTCTTTAGGACAGACCTCAGCAACATGGCAATGTGCACTTTGTAATGAAGAAATATCAACTTAAGTTTCTTTAAAAAACTAGTTAGTCCTACATTCCATTTTCTTTAAAAAAAAGCCTTTATTCAGTATCATTTCAATAACTATGAGATAATGTATTTAAAAGCACTTTGAGAGTATCAAATATAATATAACTATAAGGATGTATTATTAATGTCTGTTTAGAGGTTAAAACAGTTGATTAGATGCTGATTGACCTAAAAGCTTTTACCTGTGGGGCACCTGAAAATACAGATATATGAAGAATCACCTCTGTAATGTATCATGTTTATAAATAGGAAACTGCTAAATGCATATGGGCAGGCTCAGCAAATGTTTTGCTAAAGTTGTAGTTCAGAGCTGAATCACTTCAGAAAACTAGGGACCAACTTTTTGGTTTAATTCTGATCTTTAAAAAGTCATGTGGACTCCAGAATACAGAAGCTCTTCCAGGGACCTTGGCTCTAGGAGGATGAGGCCCTCTTGAACGTTTGTTCCTCTCTCCGCTACGTGCTCGGCCATTTAGTTTCCTAAATGTGGCAGGAGCAGACTCCTTATCTATTGATGTTGACAGTGTCTTTTTCAGCCTATGTCCTGCATGGTTTTGTTGGGTTTGGGGGAGGGTGGTGGGTGGGAGGGGTTTTATGGCCACAGAACCAATGCACTTTGGGAATTACTTTTCTAGGATTTCCTACCAATTATAAATGGCATTGACATCGTCACCTGTCTTTATTTTTTTCCTAAACAGAATAGCTGAATTTAATTCACCTGTTACGTTATAAAATACCCAAGGGTGAGTTGCGTTGGAGGCCACTTCTGAATCCTGGCTGTACTTGCTTCCTCCTGACCTCTCCATTCCCGCCCATTTCTGCTACTGATGCTGTTATCAGGCTGCGCCCACACGGGAGTCCATATTGGGTTGACAGGGTTAGCTATATTTTGTCCTTGGTGACTTTGGGGTTTCATCACCTTAGCTGCATTAACTTACTTCCCCTGGATTTGGAGTTCATTTTTGTGTCTCCAGTGCCTATTCTGACCTGTCCTCTTTCATAGGAGGTCTCTGGACTCGTTTCCTCTCATGTGTAGATGGACTTCAGCTGTCTGTCTCTCTCAGC